TAATTGAAAAGTGCAGACTACTTGGACGAGTCGAACAGAAAAGGCGACGTAGAAGTCAGTGTTGTTGTCTTCTCAGACGGGTCTGGCAACAATTTACCGCCCCCTGAGAGCAAAAGGCTTAGTTGGTCTGGGCGGGAGCCCATTCTGGATTCACCCCCGGACCGACGCGTAATAAGAGTGCCACTTGTCACTACACCACCTCGTTCTCTCAAGATGCGTACAAGTGGAAACGTTCGAAGAAAATGTAGACGTTTCTTTGCCCATTGACTGCGCTACTCGGGAACTGCTATGCGGCATTCTTGCGGAGCCTTCATAAGGTCGTATTTCAGTCTGGAGGGGCCCTAAATCCGCGTTCGAACGTGGTTCTCTGTTTGTATTGCAAGGCACGTATGGAGCTAGATGGTTCAGTAGTGTGGGAGACCAGAAGGAAAATACGAGGTTCTTGGTAGTAGAGGGGGGGGGGGGGTAATTCTCTCACCCTTCTAACAATGTGCATTGGACAGTTCTGGAGACGATGTGCGCCACGTAGGCCACGTCATGTCTTTTCCTCTGCACCCTCTCGCCGAGACAACGTGGCATGCTCCAAGGTTTAATCTACAGGGTACAGCATCGTTGCGTGGAATGCATAGGGGGATCGTACTTCTTTTCTGGGGAGGGGAGGGGTCGTATTTGGTCGTTGGGAGAGAGGGGGAAGTCGTACGTTGCTTTGAGAGAAAAATATCGTGTTGGTTTTCCGGATGCTGGCTTTTTGAATTTTTCGCGTGATTTTTCCTGTTTCATGTGCACTGTATACCCTTCCTCTCCCCTCCCTTCCCCTCGCTCGATAGCAAAATTTTAGGGAAAAAGTAGGAAAATTTGGGAAATTCGGAAAAACTGGTAGGAAATTAATTCTCCCGTTTCTCGTTGGCTACATATTCCCCTCCCCCCTCCTCGGAAAATTTTTGGGTGAAAAATTGGACTAGAAAATGTGGGGAATTGATAGGTGTCGGGGGAGGGGGGTCATACCGAGACCCTCATCTAGGTGGGGGGGGGGTGGTCGTACCTACACCGCTATCTCACACATCACGATACTGTACGCGTTAGTCTCCCTTTCACTTGCTGTCTCTTCTGACATAACGCAGTATGCAGGGAGCAAGTGCGGTGGGGGTGCAGGCAACATTCATCTTCGAGGCGCTGAAGGGGCTCCATGCTGAAGACCGATTTTCCAATCGCAG